CCCCTTTGTCATTTGAACTTCTAAAACAGCGTTCCAAACCACAAACTACTGGTTTTCTTTGTAAAAATATCTGTCTTTGTTTTAAGCAACACTCAGGAGTGTACGTTGTTCGTGCTGGAAGTCAGAGGTAGTTAATGAAGCAAGGTAACGAAGTCTGCTCCAGCAAAACAAAGATGCCACAAGCACATGGGCTTACCTCGTAGAGCTTCTTCATCCTTGCAGGAAAATAGACTGAAATGATAAACAGGGAACAACAGAAAGGACAAACAGCCTTGCTTTCGTTTTTAATGGCTCTGCTAGCCAAAATAACTTCTTCAGATTCTAAAAGAGTAGGACTAGTTTAATCTCTCCCCAGTGACATGAATATCAGAAGCAGTTCTGTGAATATTTAGCAATACCCCAAAAATGCAAGTCTTTGTCCATCACCTGAGGAAATGCCAAGCAGCACAACAGACAACGGTTAAACAACAGACGAGGGAAATTAAGGCTTTTCTAAGTTGCTTTTAATTTCAACTTAAGAAAGCATACTAACCTTTCCAGAAATCTTGACAACTAAGGCTGAACATTCAAAGTGGTTCCAGCAGCATGAACATAGGCAGTATTGCCTTCTGTCCATCAGGAGTGCATCTTATTTTGGGTAACATGCATACACACTCTCAGAAAAACTTTCTCTCCATGTTCTGTAGATGTCTCCACAGAAATAAGAGGCTGACTTCATGCAAAGCAATGCCAGCGCTCATAATCTCTAACACATACACGCACCCCCTCTGAGGCACCCAGGACCCCTGCCTGGGACACCTCAGCCCCTCTTCTCACAGGAACAGGTCATTGGCCCAGAAACACTGAGAAAACAGCTGGTGGTAAAAAGGACTGGGTGTGGAAGCAACAGCCTTCTTTCCAGTTGTCTCCCTTCACAACAGCCTAAAGCTCCTGTACCCATCTTTGTCCCGCATAAGGAATTTCTGACCCACGACAATGAGCAGAGGCTCTCATTCCTGCCATTAATGCAATCTCTTAAGATTAAACCAAAGCAAAATCCCTTCAGAACACTGCTGTCATTTCAGACAATTATATTTGGAGGAGCGTAAGGAAAGTTCTAATGGAACAGTCAACGTAGTTAAACCCTCTTTAAACCAAGCAGCTGAAAGAGCTTATAAAACAAAGTTTACAAAACCAGATGCTAATAGTCGGCTCTTCTGTGTTTCAAAGCCCAAGCACCAGAAAAGGATGACGTGTAGTTTTTCTATAAACGATTCTTTTAATGAATTGATGCTTAAAGAATATATCCATCTTGCTATTCTGTAGATCAAAGGTTAAATGCATTAAAGGGGAGAGGCATACTTGAATCCTCAGTTGAAGACTCATCACTGCAGAAAACAATTCCCACAGTAGACTATCCTCTTCCTCCATTAGTATTGAAAAAATATTGAAGAAAATATTTCAGTAAAGATTTCTACTTAGTAACAACATGTAATTCTATTGCACCAGAAAAAAGACTAAAGTAAGCACTGTTGATATCTGAAATGCTCACAGCATAGACATGTTTCACTCTAACATGTAGTTTTACAAATGCAGCACAAAATCTTCCCTATCACTTCATGTACTCCTCAAAGCTTTGAAAAAGCTACTTAAAATATTAAAGGGGACTTGAATCTCCCTTTGACTCATCTTTTTAAGCAGAAAAAAGAGGTTTAGCTAACTGAAAACTTTAATGCATTAAAAATAGTTTACAAAATTTGAGGACTGACTTTACCAAAGTAGGAAAAAGGGCTAACTAGCAACCAGTCGAAGAATTTGGTTCCGTAAGTATGTGCACAGCTGGTTCATCAAGTCTCTGTTCTGTCCTTCAACCCAGTGCATTTCTACTAATACATCATTTCCTTCTTTCTTCACATTCATCAAACACTTAAAGAGAAAACATCTACTAGTTTCTTTGGGATTTTGTTCTTTTTCAACTGTCAGATTGCTGGCTTCCTCTGAAGGGCAAGGTTCCTCCTTTGCATTACCAGAACCTTTGCCAAGTGATGTTTCTCCCTGCTTTGCTTCTGTCTCCTCCTCCTTCACATGCTCACTGTGTTCTTCTTTGGCAGCAGACTCTTCCGTTAGCTCGTCATCTGCAGTCAAGTGGACATCCTCATCAGGTGCCATAAACCCCGTTTCAGAGTCTTCAGTCTTGGGGTTTTCACAGTCCGAATTGTTGCTCACACTCTTCTGGCTGGTTTTTTCCTCTTCCATTGCTTGCAGAGCATCTTCAGAAGCTCGTGGAAGTTCTCGTAGTTGCCTTACTCTCTCTCGTTTCTTTCGCCTCAGATGAATCCAGGAGTTTTCAATGGCAGTCACAAACAGGCTAACTTCATCCTTTCCACAGGGAACACGTTTATGCTGAACCTATTGCAGAGAACAGCAGAGCCTCATACTATCCTCTCACAGTTATGCTTTCAAGTAGGATGTTGTTTTAATGTATAATACTTAATACTGTACCTTCAGATCAGTAAGGATCTTCTCTACCCAGGCTCTAACCACAGCAATGGCTTCTACAGCATCCCAGCCCATAGCTGCAGCTTTGATGGATAACTCTTTGACTGTAGAAGCCAAGACCATAAATGTAATCGGTTTTCGCGGTTTTTCTAATTTTCTTCTTTTAGAAGGAGGTGACTAGAAGAAAGAAACAAAACATTACAAAGTTATGCAGTATTAGTGGGATGGCTTTTGCACTCAGAAGACATGGGGATTAAGAGTATAACATAAGCCACCGAACAGTCATTGACACGGCCCGAGTTTCACGTCACTCCGAAGAGTCCTGCATAAAAAAGAGCTAGCAGGATCGTGCACTTTACGCTAGCCTGAGGGACAGAGGGAGTTTATGTTCATATGTCAGGCAAAAAACTTCACTGTTTCCTTCAAACTACTAGCTCTCTGTGTGAGCTGAGAAAGTGCAGCTGCTCTTGGGAACAAAGGTCAAGTGCCAAGATCCACATTTTGGTCCAAGTTCACTGAAGGTTTACTTGCATCTTCTATAAGGTTGGTTACTGTCTATACCTATCTTACAGTATACGTACATCTGAATCCAAAAGAGCAACTGGCTCACATTAGTTAGGGTGAACAAGTTCCACTTACATTCACATAGGCAAGTCTGACCGTGTCTAGGTCGTACCTATTAGGTAACAGAATCTATATGGTAAATTAAAACAAAGTTCTCAGAGGGAAGCTTAAAGTTCAAATCTAGCCCCAAACTTAGCATATTTTAATACTAAATTGCTATTTGAAGTATGTTACAAGTGACCCTTACTTTCACTGAAACCCACAGGAAGTTCCTGCACAGGCTTCTTTTTTTCCTCCCTCATCACAGGTCATTTAGGCATCACATGTGTAACAACTGCCAACAGACAGGCAGCCAGTTAAGAATTCCCACTGTCCATACAGCCCAGCGCATCCGGTGTTCCAGTGCGAAGGAGAACAGTGTGTTTCGCAGCAGCTACAGCTCATCAGCCCTTCCTCAAATAAGAGCCACAGACAACCACAAGCAAACCAAAACTAAGCTACTTACAGGTACTTGTACATCATCATAGAAACTCCATGCCAGTGCCCATCTCATGGTGCGTCCTTGACAGAATTCAGTGTGAGTAACTTTAGGAACCTGTACAAACAAGCAATGCAAAACTTCATTTCATATTAAGAAACAACATTGTTTCACTGCATACAGTTTCATTCATTTAACAAAATTACGAAGTTAGCATAGAGTTATTTTCTCACGACAGAAACGGAGATCCTTTCTGACATGGCTCATGGATGTCAGGGCCACTTGAAGCTGGTCAGTGCCTGGTACCCATGCCCAGGATTTCCTATCTCTGCCCTGCCACGTCTATGCCCTTTCACAGCTTCAAGTTCAGCAAAACACAACATGACCCTTTTTGTGCAGTGATCCAGCACGCCTACAGCACACATCTGCATCCCGGTTCTTTCTCCTTATTCAGAACCTGCTCCTGTTCCACATTTGAATACTGAACCCATCGCTGCAGCAAAGGAACACGGAACAAAGGCAAGGAAGGGCTGGGAAGCCAAGCCACTCACCCGTCTGCAGATGGCAGAAACACTTCTCTATCTTTACCCCAAAAATCAAGTCTGAACTTACACTGCTTTTAAATATAAATCTCAGATCCAATGCTAGTGTCAACTAGTCTTTGCACACATGGATACTGTAAGGCATTTATGTATGGTATGGAGAATGTGCTAAATACTAGCAAGGATGAATATCAACCATCCCACCTCACTGAATTATCAGCTCCAGAGCACAAGCTCCAGGTCTGCACAGAAAAAAAAAAAAAAAAAACAACCAATTACTTTTGAGAAATGTCTTCAGAAAGAGAGAGGAAAAGGTGTCTCTATTCTAGAACTTTTCCTGCCTTTGGATTCCTAATTCTACCAAAATTTCCAATAAATGCAGCAAATGCCAAGACAGTTTGAACAACAGTGGACTTTTTGGAACATTTATGCTGCATCCTAGCCTGAACCATAACGCAGCCTGCACTTGGTTACAACAAACATATTATTCCCAGCTCTATCACAACAAAGATTACAAACCTCAACAAAATGAAATTGGTAATTTCAAGAAGAATGCAAAAGAAAAACTCAGCTGTTCTATGCAGGGTTCGCAAGGATTTCTTTCACTTTACTAAGACTGAGGTGCAACAGTTCAAGGATAGCGAATGAAGTCAGATACTTGAAATCTGATGCCGAGCTCAGCATCTGCTTTTGGCATTGAGCTTAAGGATTCCCTACAGCCTGTAGTTCATCCTTCTGGGAACTGATTTCACCACGCACTCCCTTTCCTTCACCTCTCCACCATATACAAGGAACTCACAATCACTTCCTTTGCATGGAAATTAGAAAAGATTACGCTTCCTGAAAGCCACAAAAAAGTCCTTTGCATGGCCTTCTTACATGAGAGTAATAGCACAAGGTTCAATTTTACTTGGTGCCAGAACTGAATACAAACCAAATGCTGCTATTTAAATAGTGTTGCAATTTCTTTTATCAACCAAATTGGTAGATTTCATGTTAGCAAAGAGGAAAGAAAGCTAGATTTATTATTATTATTATTATTATTATTAT